TTGATGGATGACGTGGTTGTCCCTTTAAAAGGAACGTGACGAGTTAGCTCCTTGTAGTTGTGGTAATTGCAGTAACCAGTCAAGAGCAACAAGTAAGAGAACGTTGTGAGTATTGTACCGAAGTCATCAATAGTGGGAATAAAAAGAGGAGCAACCAAACAAAGAGTGTTGGAGTGATCAGCTAATTTCCCCAAAGGTCGCTTCAACACTGGTTATGAAGCCCTACAAACATCAAAGGAGCAAACAAAGACGCCCAAAAGGATGCTCTTACGCCTGTAGGCTGGCTCCAAAATTACTCTAACACCATCCAGACACTGAGTACCTTCGGAAACAGAAATTTCATACCCTGCAATATAAGAATATTGACAAGAATATTTTCAGCCTAAAATCGGCAGAAAAATAAGAATATTCAGCCTCTGTTGGAAAAACAATATCCTTATAAAAAATAAAAGAGTGCAGTACATGATATGGCTTGTATCTCAGGTCGTTTATGATCTTGGTGGTGACTTGGTAACTTAGAGGCTGTGTGAAAATCAAAAGCTTACTACTGGTATGTCTGTTAATTTCCTCTTGCAGGCCCTTTCAAATTAAGCTTTTATTTATTTGTTGTGGTTTTGACTCAAGTCATTTAATCACAAAGCTATCGTATTCAAATTATAAGCCAGTTGAGATTGTACATAGGTTGTTCATGACGTCATAAAGATACTAACCTCATCAAGATTGATTTGGCAGTCTACTGAAAGTTTAGATTGTCGAAGCAACGTAATGCAGTTTCCCATATCCTAACTGTATCTTTCATGAATATTATTAGTTTATGCTGAAGGAGCCTCTCGCAAACCTGGGTTATTGGATGAAGCATTAACATTCACAGAAACCTCTCCTGAAAAGTGGAGTCTATTCACCAAGTTGGTGAGTGATGAATGATATTTTTTGTCAGCTTCCTTTATAACATTAGTAAATTCCTGTCATAATTGTAAATCAATTTCTATTTCTGTTAAATCAATTATTAACTTCTTAAATTAAAACAAAAGTTTTTTCCAAATGTTTAAATGCACCAACTGGGTAGGGGAAGATCCAGGAATTCCTGAAAGGGGGGGGGGGGTGCACCTTAATAACTTTCGACACCATCGGCTTGGATGGAGAGTGCTGTAGGTGTGACCTTCTAGCGGAGTCCGGGGCCATGATGCCTGGGAATTTTTTCAGATTTTGCCACCTTAAACACCATTTCCAGCATTTCTGACACTTCAAAAATGTTTGTGAAGGCACTAAATGAAATCTGGGGTTTCCCTTTAATGAAACAGAAAAACAAAAATAATTATAACAATGCAGTCACAAAATCGACGTTATTTTTTCCTAACTTGGCAATCAGTCTGTTGGTGGAAATGAAACAAACTACATACAGTAGAACCTCCATTTGCGACCACCTCTCATAAGCGACCACGAACCTCTCCTCAGCAACCAGTTTTCCAAAATATCAAAAGTTTTCCAGTCAAACCCCTATATTTTGAACCTCTTGGAAGCGACCACCTCTCGTAAGTGACTGCGATTACTTTTAGAGCTAAAAGTTTGACATTTCCTTTTGTTTTTAACCTCATGTAAGCGATCACTTGAGAGATAATAGGGTGTAAATTGGATACAGACAATTCTCAACCGCAAGGACAGGATTTTTTCTTGAAACTGACTTTTCGCTTGAAGAAAATATTTAAAACATGGGGTAGGTCTCTGCAATTACCATACGCTAATGGGGAAAATTTTTGACCCAATATGGTTTATTAGTTCTCGTAAAGGACCACCTCCTTTATGCGACCACGTGCACCTAGGCTTGAAATTAATTTTATGTGGTCGCTTAAGGGAGAATCAACTGTATAAAACTATTTCATTAATCTACTATTTTCATGATGAGTCAAACAAATTACAAAACAATGCCACTTAAAGGAGGGCTTGGAACCCTCTCAATCCCTCCCCTGGAAGAACTGATTTCACGTTGGTAGTAAAGATTTGTGGCTTGGTTTTTGTGGATATATTGATTCTGAGTTCCAAACGGCCTGCCTGGCTTTGCCTATCCTGCTTTGTACATCTGCATCCACTCGTCCGTCTGATACATGTAAATGACTACATTACTTTCAAGCTGACTTACTAAAAGACATAAAATAGGCAAGATAATGTATTGCAAATGCCACACATAAGGAAATTAGCTTCCAGTTTTTATTCTCAGCCCGCCTGCTTGAATTGTGACATAGCATGTGCATACATTTGCATGGCATGACTGAAAGTATCATGTGCCTAAGGATGCAGACAAACATGTACAGTAAATATAAATGCAACTAATTTTCTTTTGTTTTGTTTCGTTTTAGGAACGTTAAAAAAATTAGTTGACAGAAGTTTGCACTTTGTTCAACATTAAGTGGGTGATTGAAGATAACCAAGTTAGAGAAAGCAGCGGTTTCAACTTTACATATCAGTACTGAGTTAAGTTAGAAGGAAGGAGTGTTCTGAAATTCAGGTGACATCTGTAAAACAACCAGGATGAAATAATTTACCAAAATGACTTACCTGTTAGATTGCGAAAATAATCATGCAAAATTCTTGGTGAAAGCAAAGCAACACAAGTGCAAATATTTAACACATTTGCCCTTAGATTATAGGGCAAATGCGATTGTAACTGACAAGCATATAGTCTCTTATTTGAATAGCGATGCAAAATGGGTGTAAAATTAACATATTTATAATTTATATTGCTTCTTCAGCGAATGTGAATAAACTGTTCAGAAATCTGCATTTTTAACATGTTTAATGTTTTCCAATGATAGAATTTTGCCTAGATTTGTCCCTGCTTTGAAATCTAATTTTGATTTGGTGGGCAAATCTACAGAAAATTTTTCTTGTGTGAAAGTTGTAGATTTGCCATCAATTCAAAACTGTGGTAAATCAAAGCCAAAATAATGTGAAATTTATGTTCTAATTGTACACAAATTCAACAGCAGCATATAGTCTCTTATTGGAATAGCACTGCAAAATAGGTATAAAATTAACATGTAATCAAATTATGCTTCTGCAGCAAATGTGAACAAACTGTTGGTTAATTTGCATTTTTAACATGTGAAATGTATTCCTCAGTCCCTGTGAAAAAGCTCCACTGAAACAAAATTCTTTTTCGCAGGTTGTATTTCACAGGTTTTAACATTATGGTAAATGTCCCACAGATTATTACAATCACAATTTTGAAATTTTAGACACTTGTGTAGCTATGAACAAGCTCAAAGACAAAATTATCTTTCACAGGTTTTTTCACAGGTTGTGACCATGTGAAAAGTGCCCTGTTCACAGGTTTTGAGATTTTAGACCCTGTGGAAAAACCTGTGAAAAAGTTCCAGAACAAGATTCTTTTTCACAGGTTTTTTCACCGGTTTTGACCCTGTGAAAAGTGCCCTGTTCACAGATTTTCAAAATTTCACGCCCTGTGAAAAACCTGTGAAAAACCTTTGAAAAAACACATGAAAATTAGTATTTCACAGGTTTTTCACAGGATAATTTATAGGTTTTTCACAGGTTTTTCACAGGTTCTCATCCCATAGTATATGTTGGAAGGTTCACGACAGTGCACAATCTGTGTTTTGCGCTCATGCACTATGCATGAATTACGTAACCAACACTTTTCTATTGGTTAGTTCCCCAGTACGGAGTAAACAACTATTGTGTTTTGTTCACCGTCAAGGCCAAAAAAGCGAACAAAAACACACAACAAAGCACTTTGTCGGGTTTCATAACCATTCCCCTCTATTAACTATGCAAGGGGAGAGTTATGTAGCAGTTTACCAACACTTGAGAAACAACTTGCGTTAGACGGTCACACAATCCCAGGTATATTCAAGATAAGACTTTAGGTTTTAATTTACGTAAGTTTTAGTTTGACCCCAGGAAGCTTTCACTTTCGAGGGCATATTTACAACATGGCGGAAGCTCCAAGAAATCGGCTACCTTCGGGTTTCGACGAGGACTTCGTGAATGCAGTTGAAGATGAAAATCTCTGTTTGATATGTCATTTGCCGCTCAAGAAAGCTGTTTTAACAAGATGCGGACACAGGTTTTGCGAAGAATGTCTCGAGGAACATTTTAGAAGGTGCGGCATTAAATGGGTTATTACATTGATAGGCTACAGTTTCATTATACTTTAACGTCTGAATAGCTTTCGTCTGGCCTAGTTTTCACTAGAGGTGCAAGCATAAGCTTTAGCACCATAAAGAGTACTCAAAAGTCTGCGAGATGTAAAAGAAAGCACAGACCTGAATGGCTTTTGATTTAGTGTTTGTGCTTGCGATCCTGAGCTGATTGTGTGGACTCAACTGAATTGTCCGCTTATCCCGGCACTATAATGAATCACTGTATGAGCTTGTATGCCGTGGCGCGCTTATCGCAAGTTTAAACAGGGCTTGCTTTGCTTACCATGTCAAATCTGATCAACAGAGAGATGAGAAAGATATCAATTAGGTATATTTACATTCATTCCTGAGTCTGTGATTTGTTAATGTTCAGTCTTTAGGTTCACGCAAATGTTTTCATTTGATGAGTTCGATCACATGCCTGATCAGGTCATAATTGATTTTAAATGTCTGGCTTCCTGCTTTAAACGACGCTTTTCTTTGCGTTGAGCTGCAATTCTTTTGATCGATTTTGTTCTTTTTGCGTTCACTAACAAACAAAAAGTAACGTAAAGCCGAAGCTTTAGGTTACTTTTAGGTTATCTAATTCAATATTGTTTCTTTGTTTACTGAAGTTTTAAACCGTGCAAACGGCTAGTATTCAATTTAATGTCGCTCAAGATGAGAGACGGCCGAAATAAATCAGTTAATCAAAACACTTACTAGGACTCCCATATTATTATATTGGATTAAAGGGTCAGCCACACATTTGCACCCCGTGATTCATAATGAGTATTTGAAACTCACAGTTTCAATTCAATTGTTCTAAAGGCAAAGTCATCTTTATCAAAAAAAGCAAACTTTGATCAATTCATGAATGTTTTTTGGCAACCTCCTT